TGCCGACTGAGCAACTGAACCGGACCCTCCAGAGCAGGGACTCTACAGGCACAGCGGATGCTGGCTTTTCCACCAGCCGAGGCTCAGGAAGGAGACCCTCGGCCACAACTGACCTTCTGTGGCCTCGGCCTCCCGGCCCTGCGGTGGCATCGGCTGGGGCTCCTCCTCTTCCTCCTCGGGGTCGGCCTCCTGTGAGGTCTCCTCCTTCAAGCCGCCAGCCTCCTCCAGGAGGGCGGCCCCGGCGGCCCCCTCCCCTGGGGACTTGGGGTCTTCCGGCTTGGGCTTCTTGGGCTGGCTCCGTTTCCGGTGGGACCTGGGGAGGGACAGTCATCAGCCAGAAGGCCAAGTGACAGGGAGGAGCCCCGTCTGAGCCGCCCCACCACCCAGCTGGCAGAACGGAGCCCCGGGCGGCATCCCAGGGGCCGTCACGGGGCCAGCAGAGCTGGCTCAGGGGCAGGTGGGGGGACAGGCCCAGGGGGCCGTGTGGGGCAGAGCGGGTGCTGATGACCGGGAAGGGGGGGTGGTGGGGGGCCGGGGCAGGGGAGGTGGAGGGGGACAGGCCTGGGGACCACGTGGGGCGGAGCGGGTGCTGATGACCGGGAGGGGGGATGGCGGGGGCAGGGGCAGAGCCGCTGTGAGGGGGGGGGGGGGGCTGGGTGGCGGGTGGAGATGCCTGCACACAGGGACAGGTGCACTTACGGCGGCCCCGGCCTCCTGGTCTGCTCTTTCTTCCTTTCTAGACTGGCCTTCCTGTCCTCCTCAGTCTTTCTCCAGTGTCTGTTTTCTTTCAGACTAATTTGTCTAGAATGTAAACGTCAGGGAGTTTTTCTCTAGCACCTGTGCTGACTCCCCGGACGCCTCATCTAAGGGCCTGGCTTCCCCGTCCCCCTGCTCTGTGTCCCTCACTCGAAGGAGCTGCAGAGGCCCCTGCTCGCCTGTCCCCAGCCGGCCTCCGGGGCAGGGCCCAGCCTCGCTCGGGGACGCAGCTCTCTGGGGGCGGCCCTCGGCCCCGAGTGAGAAGTCGCCTGAGGCTTAGCTCTGGCTTCTCAGTGCAAACCAGACAGAATCGGTTATAAAGGAAAAAAAGACCGTGACCGGGGTGGGTGGGCCACCACGTCAGAGGCCAGGGCCTCCCTGTCCGGCTCTGGGGACTTTGCAAGGAGGGGAGAGAAGTGGCTTTTAGGCTGACACCAAGGCGTGTGACGGGCCCAGGAGCAGAGGCAGAGGCTGGGGCGTGGAGAAGCCCGCGCTGGGCGGGTCACCGGCGTCCTGCAGGGGTTGAGGGGACAGCCCTACGGGGTCTCAGACTCAAGGCCTCATCGCCTCCGAGCCTTTCTTCCCCCTCATTGTCAGCAATGCCGATGGGAGGCTATGGCTGCGGCTTCCCGTCCCCCAGGGGCTCTCGGTCTGGCCCCAGTGAGGTCGGTTTGGACACGGGGTCCTATTGGGGGGGGGGTCCCTGTAGCGGTCACACCTCCAAGGATCAAGAGGTCACCCAGCAAAGCAGGGCTACCTGACTGGGGCCGGGAGGGGGCCTGGGGAAGCCTTGAGGGCTCCCGATGCCAGGACCCCCACCTCCCACCCAGGGGGTGCCCACCACCGCCCCGCTGTCCCAGGACACGGGCTCCTGACAGCTGCCTCGCCACCTCGCCCCGAGCCTGCGGCCAGGGTGGGGGGGGCCTCTCCTGACTGTCCCCTAATGCTGACTGCCCTGGTCCTTCCCACTGCTCGGCTGCCTCGCTCGAGAGCCCCAGGCAATGCCAGGCTGACAGGCCCCGGGTGATGTTCGCACGTGAGCCACTCCGATGACCAAAGGCAAGGAGCAGGGAGCATTCCGGGGGAGGGAGCGTCATGGGTGGAGGCATGGCATCACACACATCATGGCGTGCATGGGGCGCTGTGGGGGGTGCGGGGTGGGGTGGGCGGGAGGACACGCGGGCAAGGAGCCAGGCAGGAGGGGGCCCGGGACCCGGGGGGGCGGGGGGGGGGGGGAGAACGCACTCTACCACCACAGAGCCCCTGGGGCCTCCGGGCGGAGCGACTCTGGGAGAGGCGGGCCCAACCCCAGGACAGCAGCACGGCCCAGCTGGCTGCTACCGGAGGAGGGGCTTCTCTCCAGGCCTGAGGACACCGCAGGGCAGGGGGCCCACAGGCGAACCCCCACGCTGGCCCCAGGCAGCAGCCAGCAGGAGGGTGTCCTCCCACTGTCAACTCACCTGGCCTCGGTTTCCTGCAGCTGCCCGTCTCCTCGGCTCCCCTCCTACCCACCCCCCACCCAACCACGGAACCAGAGGCCACTCCCGATGGCGCCGGCCACTCCCAGGGCGGACGGGGGGGGGGGGGGGGGGGGTGGTCCCGTCTGTGCCAGGGAGCCTAGACCTTCCTGGGCCCCCAGAGCATCCTGGACTCAGAGCCCTGGGCGCCCCCAGCCCCCCAAGCACCACTGGGTCTTGGCTAGTGTGGAGACCCCCAGGACGGGTGGCACCAGGCAGACGGGCAGAGGCAGAAGGCCACCCTCTGCGGCGGACTAGGAAAAGCGAGCTGAAGGTCAGCGTGCAAAGACAGCCCTGCTTTGTGAAAACGTCAGCTGGGAGAACTGGTGGCAGCCGGGCGGAGCCACCGGGCACTTCCGAGTCACGCAGTGCGGCCGTCGCAGCGCCCCCCGGCCACATCCCCAGATGGGCCGCCTTCCCTGCTTGTAGCGGTTTCTCCCCTACCGCTGCCTGCACGGCCACGCTGCCTGCCAGCAGTCACGCGGGGTGTGGCCATCCTGCCGCCACGTGCCACGTGGCGGAAAGCCTTCCTTCCGTCTTTCTGACTCTGCAGACAGCGTCCATCCACGAGCGACGCAGCTGCCGCCGTGTATTCCTTGCTCGCCCCTCCTAGAGTCGGTCATCGGCCCGTCTCAGATGCTCGGCTTTCCAGGCGACCCCCAAGCTCCTGGTGTGGCCTCTGACGCAGGGTGTCCCACACTCCTCGGTGACACCTGGGGGCCTGTCCCCTTGAGACTGCCTTGGACTTGCCTGGGTGGGATCCAGGTCCCTCGATCTGACGACCTTCTTGGTTGATGCCCTTGTTTAGTTGGAGCATATCCTCCAGGAGCTTCCTCGGTAAGGAAGGGAAATTGAGGCTTTAGAGATCTAGAAAGATCTTTATCCCCTTGCATATTGAGTTGGTAATTTTGCTGGGTTTTGTTTTGTTTTGTTTTTGGAGAGAAAGCGCGAGTAGGGGAGGGGCAGAGAATCCCAAGCAGGCTCCTCACTGGCAGCGCAGCGCCCGACGTGGGGCTTGAAATCACGAACCGCGACATCATGACCTGAGCCGATATCAAGAGTTGGACACTCAACCCACTGAGCCACCCGGGCGCCCCAGCTGGGTACGTACTTTCCGGTTGGAAGTTGTTTCCCTTCCGATTTCTGAAGGCCTTGTTCCTTCGTGTGTTGGCTCGTAGCATCATGGGTGCAAAGTCCAATGTCTTTAGGGTCTCTTGTTCTTTACGTGGGCCTGGCTGTTCCTTCCAGAAGCTTCTGGGATCTTCTCTTTAACCCAGAGCTGTGAAGCTGCATAGTGACGTGTGCATAGTGTGGGTCATTCTCGTCCTCTGTGCCCGACTTGGAACTCTGCGAACGCAACGCTTGGGTGCCAGGCAATGTTCTTTTCTCTCTGCCCAAAGCTCCTGGCAGAGGCCGGAGCTGCTCAGGGAGCCTCTGCTGTCCGATGCCCCCTGTCCTCTGCTCGACCCCTCGGCTCTGGGAGACTCCTCAAGCCGACTCCCGGCTCACCTCTCCGTCGGCCCGCCTGGAGCCAGGTCTTCCTGAGCTGCGGGCTCCTCCTTGCCTGCAGTCGTGCCCGGGAGGGTCAGGTGGCTGGCGGCTCACCGCTCTTGTCTCTCACTGGAGAGGCCGACTCGCACGCCACCTTCTGCCGAATCTCAACCCGAGCCCCGCGACGCCTCGCACTCGGCCTCCAGCCCACCGGAGTCCCCGGCGTCTCTCCTGGGCGTTTCCAGAGAGCGCCACAAAGGCGGGCCTGCTTGCCCACCCTTTCCTTCCTGCCAAAGTCTGTGGGCACTGCTCAGCAGCCGCCCTCCCTCTGCCGTTCTCGGTCACTCCTCTGGGCTCCCGGCAGTGGTTTCAGGAGAGGGTGGAGGAGAACACGAATTTACCGGCCAGGCCTGACTGGGCGTCCCTGCCGTGGGTTCCTACGAACTGATTACTGGGACCGAGTCCAAATACCTACACTAATATTTTCAATACGGAAGCAGGTTCTTGGGATCGCTGATGGCAGGAGAGGCGGGGTGGGGCGCTCCTCTTGGACCCCCGCCCGTGCAGCAGGCCGGGGGAAGGGCTCCTGGTCTGGTCAACAGAGGGGCCCAGAGCACCCAAGGCGCCAGCTCTCACAGGACCGGCCGCAGCCCAGGGTCTCTACCTCCACAGAGGACCCTCGGGCCACGGCAAGGCCCCCGGGGCCAGCACGGCTGCTGCGTCTGGGCACAGGGGGCTGCGAGCTCTGTGCCCAAGGTCCTTCTCCCCACCACCTGGCCCCGAGACACTCTCCCCCTTTCCCTCCAGCACTCCACGCCCTCAGAGACAGGCAGGCCTGCGGCACCTAAAGGATCTCACCTTCAAGAAACTAACCGCGCTGTGGGGAAGGTGCATATCACACGCCTCCTGGAACGCATGGTTGGTGCAGAGCGCTTCTGGAAGCACTCGTCAGAAGTAACAAGGGGCCGAGAGGAAAAGGCAGTGTGTGCACCCGCAGGGGGATCGCTCGTTCGGAACGGGAGGAGGAAGAACACGGAGACGCCGGCCTGGGCTCAGCACCAGGCTCCACGGGGGCCTGAGGCGCCCAGGCAAGGGTCCTCCCGGTGCTCAGGGACCGGGGGAGGGGGCCTTCCAGCAAGGAGCAGGGAGGTCACGGTTCCTGGCGTGTGTCACCGGGCAGGGTCAACTCACACGACCAGAGTTTGGTGTGGAAGATTAACCCACAGGAGGGCGACAAGAGAGGCCCACATCACTCTCCCGGAGAGGCCAACACCTGGCTTCTGCCTGGAGACGACATGTGGGGTGCGGTGTGGGGGTGCTACCCGGAAGGCCGATGCCCTAGGGGGCGGTGGCCCGGCTGAGCCGGTCTGAGCAAGGACCACGGACAAGCTGCAGGTGCCAGAGGAGGCGGAGAGGCCGCGTGGGCACTTGCGGGATGGAGGGGGCAGCGGGCAGGAGAGGGGCCCCCCCGCACCACACCCTTGGGCAGGGGCCCCAGATGGTGTCTGGGGGCACCTGTGGTTGTCACAACCAGGGGTGCTGCTGGGTCGGGGGTGCTCCTTAACCTCAGGATGTGTCCTCCCCAGAGACTGACCTGGCCCCCAGTGTCCCCAGTGTCAAGGGGAGGGGCTCCGGTGTGGGGACAGGGCTGGCATAGCCCCTGGCTTGGGCCGGAGGGTGTTCAGGGGGTGCCATCCCAGCCGGGGCTCAGGGGGGCCGGCACAGCGGGTCGGGGCAGGGCACCAGTGGCCGGGAGAGAGTCACACGGGACTCTAAGTGTCACTGAACTCGGGCCGAGCACAGCGGCGTCCAGCTTGGCCTTGGGTCCCCAGTCAGCCTTTCTGGAGAACGGCCCCCTCAACCCGTGACTTTGAAGAAAGAGAAGGGAATCAGCTGTGTTTTCCATGTTTAAAGGCTTTAGGGGCGCCTGGGTGGCGCAGTCGGTTAAGCGTCCGACTTCAGCCAGGTCACGATCTCGCGGTCCATGAGTTCGAGCCCCGCGTCGGGCTCTGGGCTGATGGCTCAGAGCCTGGAGCCTGTTTCCTATTCTGTGTCTCCCTCTCTCTCTGCCCCTCCCCCGTTCATGCTCTGTCTCTCTCTGTCCCAAAAATAAATAAACATTGGGAAAAAAAAAAAATTTTAAAGGCTTTAAAGACAACTATATCCTTGGGATCACGACTGATTTGTTACTCAGTCTCCCTGCAGGAGTAAAACAGCTCCCCCGGTCCGGTCGGCAGCGAGGAAGGGAGAGGCGCAAGGCAGGAACACTCCAGAAAGGAACAGTGTGGGCACGACACGACACGGGGGCTGACAAGGGGGCCAGGAGGGTGAGGCGGTGGCCGAGGCAGCGGGGCTGCAGGGCGCTTCCTCTGGCACGGAAGGTTCTGGGCTGGCACCCTGTGGTCCCTCGTCCCCGGGCAGGCTCTTCCGACAGCCTCTGATGCCACTCCGTTCCTGGCCGTGCTGCCTCTTGGCTGGCAATCCGCTCTGTTGACCAATTAGCCGGAGCCACAATCAATCAGCCATTATGCAAATGCACGTCTGGCCTGGGGGGCGGCCTCAGCAAGAAGCTGCTCTTGGCAAAGAACGCGGAGAGTGGGGAGAGCCTGAGGAAAAGGGAGACTCACCTTCACAAGGGCTGTCAGGAGCTGCCGGAACATTCTGAGAGAGAGGGGCCCCGGGGTGGGGGAGACACACAGGGAGGCTGAGTCTGCCCAAGATTCGCGGTTTCACAGACGGACACGTGGAAACAAGGACAGCCCGGTCGGGGGCAGGTTGTGGACCGGCACGGCCACCCGGCCAGGATGGTTTTCCCCGGAAATAGTTCCCAGGACGTCCCCACAGAGTGTGGGAGTGCCAGCGACGGGGCTCCCCGAAGGAAGGATGTGGCCCAGCCTCCCAAGCCCTCAGCGCCAGGCCCCAGGGAGACACAGTCCGCTGCCAGCCAGGTCAAGATCAAGCCAGAAGGGACCAAGTGGCTGCACTGGAAAAGCCTTGCTCGAGGCACAGATCCGCCAGCCCCCTAGTTTGGTGCCGCTGAGGGTGAAGGAAGTTCAGAGCACAGTGATATGATACTTTGTGGCAGGTGAAAATGATACGAAATTCCAACCTCAGCGTCCGACGATAAAGCTTTCCCCGGACACACCAGGCTCGCTTGTGTATCGAGTGTCTATCGTCTACAGCGGCTTTCGTGGAGTCGAGTGGCCCCGAGAGACCGGCTGGCCCTTCACCGCGAGGTCCCGGCTCACAGCCGGGGGGCCCAGCAAGCATTTGCTGACTGGTCCGCGGGCACCAAGAAGGAATCCGGCGGAAGGCTGTCTGTGAGCTCTCAGACCCGGGGAGCCCGGGTGCTCCCACAGAAAGCAAACGGACCGACGTTCTGGGCACCAGGCCGCTGCCGGGCCCTGCGGCTGGCTGTCTCTGGTTCCTGGCACCACGCTGATTTCCACCTCAGCCCAGACCTGCCCCCCGCGCCCCTACGGCCTCGGCGACACAGCAGGAGGGCGCTGTCGTCTTGTCCTGTCCTCCCCCACCCGATGCCAGGCAACGGGCCGGGCAGCGACTACCCTGTCCCGGAAGGGTCCACGCGGTAGAGGGGGCCCTCTGAGCCCAAAAGGGGTGCAAAGAACTCTGCAGTCACTGCTGTCGTCGTGAATCCAAACAGCACGCTTTGGCAAGTGCCAAATGAGCACCCACAGACGCAAAAAGCCCAGCCATGCTAGCTGCCGAGAAGGGCCCCGCGCAGCGCCCATGCGCAGAAACAGGGCTCTCGCGCCCAGGATTGTCAGGAGAGTGACAGACCGCACGCGTCCTCCCAGAGAGGAAACTGTGCGGCCCAAGGGCCAAAGGGCTGGCCTCCCGGGAGCTGGAGAACGAGGGGTTGGAGGGAACCTGAGACCCTGATCACACTGACGCCACCTGCCCCAAGGCCCATCGCCTGTGTTTGGGGGAAGTGGAGGCCAGAGAAACACCTGGAGAAGAAACAGGAGGAGGGCAAGAGGGGGGTTGGAAGGAAAAGGAAAGGAGGGGGGAGGTGGAGGAGAAAGGGGGAGATGGGGAAGAGGGGGAGAAGAGGGGAGTGGGGAGGGGGAGGAGGA